GCCCCCCTCCCCAACCACCCCACTCTTTCCGTAGCGTTGGTCTAAGTTCTCAAGGCAGAGAGAAAGGAACCAGAGTGATTGTACAGCCGTTAATAGCGCTGCCATATGGCCTCGTTCACGTGGTTTGTGACGTAAGGGAAAAAGAATCTTGGGGTCATGGGGCTTCCCCTGACCTAGATTCTACCTCTCCATCACCGGCAGAATTGCTGATTAATGCCTACAGTTCAAAATAGTCATTTTGACTGACGGAGTCTATGGTGGGTATGAACTATGTGAATAGGCGGGTTCAGAGAACCCTCTGTCTAAAACTATTTCATGGATTATTTACCAATGTGTTATGGTTTGAGTTGGAGGCAATGAGACTAAAACAAAAATTAAAATTCAGGGCACTACTTTTCAAAACACGTTGCTCGAATAAAACTGAACATGAACCGAGGAAAGGCACGCGCGACTAATCTTGAATAATTACTACTATCAATCAAAGTCATGTGATGTTGGACCACTGAAACAGGATGCGTCATAGACTATGCAAGTGATTAACACCAATCATTAGCATAGCCACACCTCCAATTCACACTTGCCCTAGGCAGGTGAATTGGGCCTATAAGCCATTTTCACTTGATTGTGAATGAATAACTTTTTTGCAGGAAGACTACGACAGATTGCGCCCTCTAAGTTATCCTGGTACAGATGTGTTTTTACTTTGTTTTTCACTGGCAAGTCGAGCCTCATTGGAGAATGTCACAGAGAAATGGTGGCCAGAAATTCAGCACCATATGCCGAAGACACCGGTAGTATTGGTTGGAAATAAAGTTGGTAAATACATCACACTGCCTGGAACACTATAATTGCATATGGTGGATTTGACTACATAAAAATATTTCTAATAATTATTTTATTGTATCCAATGACTTCATATTACACATAAGATTAATGTACTCCAATATTTTGCTTGTAGATTTAAGATCTAGTAGTTCAACATCTGTTATAACCTATGATGAAGGGAGGATATTGGCAAAATCTCTTAGAATACCTTACGTTGAAACCAGTGCACTTACCCAGTTTGGGGTCAACGAACTTTTCAACAAAGCAGTAAGTGTAATGAGTCTTGCATGTATTTATGGCATATATTTGTTTGCACTGACACAACATCTATACTTGGTGTAATAAATCGGTGAGTAAGTAGAGTTGCAAAGTTAAGAAGTCCACCTGTGAACTAAGCAAATAACACCGAATAAACGGCAAGGTAAAGACTATGTCTAATTATAGTAAATACGTACTGCGTGCGTGACTCGAACCGGCGCTCACGTACGGCACCTAATCGCCTAGCTTCACGCCACTACACGTCTTCCCCTGGCCACTGGGCATCCCCAAAAAGGATGCTTAATAACCGAGCTTATTACGTGCAGAGAACATGAAACCCGTCCACGCGATACGCGCCACACAGCATGGCCAGAATGAACATGTAAGACTGGTTCACCTGTGAACTAGCCAGGTAAGGTATGACAATTTGAAAACTTTGCATGACAAACTTTGCATGTGGCTTACTCAAAATCTAAACAACAACTAATGTTAAAATCTAATAACCCTGTTCTCACTAACGTACTCTATTTGAATCAAGATGGATTCAAACATGCAATCAGACCAGAGTATGCACATGCTCAGTTTTTTAGTTATACTATAACCAACACCAATTATTGTGTTGATTGTAATTACTGGTGTGTGATATGTACATATCCAGAACTGTATGAACTGACAGAAAACTGTGTGATATGACCACAGATGTTGCCATTCATGAAATTATATAGACTGAGCTGAATTCTACTTCTGTTACTGAAGTTATGGCATTTTTATTATCCAAAACGATACCTTGTTCATGAAAATATCTGTTATACTTCCTATCAGTGAACATGACCCTTGTTCGGGGAGTACTTGATGGCCAATTTTGCTATTCTGCTTTTGTGATTATTCTGACTTTTGAAAACACCATTTTTTACTCAAATGTGCAAAGGACACAATGGAAGTCATACATAGACCAGATTACTGGTGTTTTTAAAGTGTTTTTGAGCTAAAAGTTTGATCACTTTAGCCTTTTCTAAATCCTGTTTGATTATTATTTATAATGTTATTGTTTTCTGTGAATCGATATACCTAATATATTATTTACTTT